GAGCAGAAACACAAAATCAAAGAAGCTGAAAAACACGAGACGCCGGCGTTGCTACGGAAACAAAACGCGGAAGTAGCTGCCGGTTTCCCTGGCAACCAAGAACGGCAGCCGAAGAGGAACATTCTTCCTCGTTGTCTCCCTGCTTTAACGCGAAAGAGCAGAAAGAACGAGTAGCCTTTGGGGGAGAAAGAGACGCAGCCAGACTTCGCGGGTAAGGCAGTCTCTGGAATGGGGCGGGCCCCTAAACCTAAAAATAAAAGAGATGTTTCCCTATGGTTCCTGAAAGGACGTTGTGAACTATGCTTCCACCCGAGACGAAAACACGCTGCTTTTCTCCTGATTCTTATTCAGTGGTACAAAAGAGCCGACTGAAGTCTGAGCACTGTCCTAAATTGCTCAATGTTGTAACAGTAATAGAGTTGGAAGGGACCTTGGAAGTCATCTAGTCCAACCCCCTGCTCACGCAGGAGACCTGTATTAGTGATTCGAACCGCCGAACTGCCAACCTTTCTGATCGAGGGAAAAGAGAAGTCTGAGCAAATAAGTGGATTTATTATACACGACCTCCTTTTCCAAGTTCTATTTGCGCTATCTGATTTTTTTCTATTAGTCTTGACATTTCTGCCTTAGATGATTTCTTTTTAAGTTACTTGCAGGTCTTCCTTCTGCATCCCTACGTACTTTTTTTTTAAATCGTCACGTCTTAATCTCGACTTGTCTGTTAGGAGCAGTCTTTTTTTCCCTCCTTCCTTCCTTCTTTGTTTATTTAAGATTTAAATGCAAATTTAAATTCATTCTGCACTCCTCTAATAAAACCTGTTTTAGTGTGATTTGGGCTTTCCCTCGGTTCTAAATATGTTCTGTTACGATAAAGGATAAAACATAAACTTGGAAAAGCTACTGGTAAAATGCCCTGGGGAAAAAGGAGAATAGACTGTTATAAAAAATATCTAGCCTCTTCTCCCACATATGTTCTTGTAGTCATTATGCAAAATGGTCAGATATTTGCATATTATCCATAATGCTAATTAATCATTATATTAATAATGACTAAATCATCTATATCAGTTATTCTACTAATTATTAGTAAAGTCACTTGTTTTTAGCCTTAAGGAAGAGTATTGGTGTATTCTGTACAGCCCAGCATATGGATTTAGCAGACTCTGCTATTCTTTCTCAAGCCTCAGATAGTCTTAGACAAATCAGTCTTGGAATACAGTTTTGTATTGGCAAAATCATAAAGTGTTTTCTCCTGCCCAAGTTTCATGTCCTAGAAAGAAATTTCTGGATCCTAGAAACACCCTTGCAAGTGCCCTTGGGTTTGAGGTAGACTGCAAAAAATGTTTCTTTAATATGGTATGTCTATTTACTTTCTGAGTCACGCTGCTATGTGACATTAAATCAATCCCATCCCCCCCTCTCTCTAGTACCATTGCTCCCCTCAAATTGGACAGGAGCCCAGATATAGCAGAAACACTCATAAATTAGAGCCATTAAATATCATGCTTTCTGCAGCATCAGGGACCCACAAACAGACTGAGTGTGAGCTGAATGCCACTATCTATCACTTTAATGGGTGTACTCTGGAAATTAAACCTGTCACAGCCCATCAAAGTGAATGTTTCAGCCTGTGACATTCTGATATGCTCATTTCTTGCACGTCTTTCTTTGTTTCTTGCCACCTTCCCATGTGCTTCCACTTAACCCATGACTTTTGATACTTTGGAGCTCTGAAGTCAGGCTATACGGTTGGTTCCAAGGATGTGAGCGGCCCTGAGTCTTCCATCAGATTCCAACAAAGCTATTCTTAAGAGGCCTGTCATTTGCTATCAGAAGGGGATAAGCAGGACTCTAAGAATAATAAGAAATCTTTGTCCTGTTTTAGGAAAAAATCCATAGAGATAATACTTTTATTAGGCAACTACTTTTATGAGTTCTTTTCTTAGAATCCAACTACTTTTATGAGTTCTTTTCTTAGAACATTTTATCATGCAGAATGTTTATAAACCAGGAAAAAGGCAGGAGGAAAAACTCGGCTACTTTTTCAATTGTGCCTATACTTATATAATCTTAATGGAGTGGCAGCTTTCAGGCACATGCAAATTGAGTGTTGGAAAATTCAAAATGGTGTTGGAAAGCCTGATGGGGAGGGAAATAAGTGAAACTCTTTTGTCCCGTTTTTAAAAACTTTCGAAATTGATGGCAGCATCTAACCAATGTTAGTTGATTTTTAAAAAAAATGTCAAGGATGTCAGACCTGTTTGGCCCTCAGTTGAGAAGTCACCAAGAAATCCCAAGGCTCTAAGGTAACCCAAAAGTTCCAAAGACTAATCCTCTGGTCCAGTTGACAGACTAAGATTGGATCCTGCAACATTATCCTGGGACATATATATTTTCCTTCATTTGCAGTAATACCCATGTCTGGGATGAAGAACCAGGACTTTGAGTTTACCTGGAATAATCTGAACTATATAGAAAATAGTTGGGAAATAGTGGGAGAAGGAGGAATGCTGGAAAAGCAAACATCATTTATTTTCAGGAGCATAATTGAAAATCTATTCATTATTATTAGATTTTTTATTGAGACAGAGAGAGATTTCAACTCAAGGTGGTGATTATTTCGATAAGTTTGAATGGACTGAACGCACCAAAAAAAAAAGAGCCCAGATGTTTAATAAACTTAAGAAATTGAAAGTAGATATACTCTGTATACAGGAAGTGCATATTAAAAGGGAACATAGGAATCTACTGGAAAATAAAAAACTAGGGAAATTATATACAGCATTGGCAGATTAAAAAAAACAGTGGGATAGCAACATATATAAAGGAAGAAATAAACTCCAAAGAAGTTTACTCAGATGAAGAAGGCAGAATGCTAATGATTGAATTAGAGACAACAGAAAAACTGATACTATTAATAGTCATATATGCACCGAACCAGAAACAAGAGGAATTTTATAGGAAATTACATAACAAAATAAATGAATTAGAACATGAAAACATTTGCTTAATTGGTGACTACAATGCAATAGTAGATAAAAAACTGAACTATGAAAGCAAAAAGAAAAAAAATACATTNCAATGTTCAGTTGTCTTAGTTACAGTACAATCGTCTTGGATAAAATGCACGTGTTTGATAAGAGCTGACATGACGTTGGTGGCATATAATGAATCAATGTGATGCCGAATTATGGTTTTCTTTGACTCAAACTTTTACCTGTAAAAGAACAGAACATAATAACATCGGTTAAGGTTAGTAGATATGAGTTCAATCCATAGAACAGTGTCTTTCAAAAAGATTTTTTAAAAGCCACACGATCTCCACTAGGGATTAATAAAAGTTTTTGAATTTGTCGCACAGTGACAATTTAGTTTTTGAATTTGTCACACCCTGCATTAAAATTGATAAAAGGAGTATTTTAGCAGTTGTGCTGAACTGCTCCTTTTCTTTAGGTTTTTGCTCTTTCCATATCCATAAAGATTGCGTGTAGCGAAACCTGTGACTTTCTTAGCATTAGTGGTTACACCTACTTCTGGTGTGGTCCTGTAACTGAGCTTTTGGCAACCACTGTCAAAAATATTTATGTTTATGTGCAGTTTGAGGTCTAAACCCTCTTCCTCAAGGCAAGAAAGGCCTTCAGTCTAGTTCTATAAAAGCAGGCAGTAAATAAAATTTTCATGATGTCTCTTCATTCAAATATAAATCAGTGAAACTTCAGTTTATGCACACTTTGCCTGCAGCTGGTAAGAGCAGAACAAAATGTTACCAATTATCATTAAGGTAAGCTTAACAGAAGAAAGAAACGGGAGAATTATTATTATTTTCATATCCTAATGAACATTCCATGTCTCTTAAATCGCATGGTTTTAGTTAGTAGAAGAATTACCTATACACTGGTCAAATCAACTACTTCCTACTTAAGCTCTGCACACACAATTCTCACACAAATTTTAAAAAAGGCTTTTATTTGCATTTGATGAATATGGAGATACATAGTTCAATTCAACAGACTGACTTTGATGTTTGATTATATTAGAATTACCATACCTCTGATGTTCATTTATCAGAGGGCAATGTCATAAAACTGAAAGTATTTATTAAGATCTAAGCAGTGTCAACTTGGAATATATATATCTTATATTGCAAGGAACCTAAGATTGCTGCCTATAGTATGAGAAAGCTTCGGGTAAATATCAGTGTCGTTATATCCCTATGTTTCTAAATTCATGTATTTACTTAAGCATCTTTCAATTAGCCTGTTTGGTTTCTTGACCTGATCTGTGTGACTTCTAGCAGTGGTGGGATATTGCCAGTATAACAACTGGTTCGGTGAGCGCATGCTTTGTGCTTGCACACGCCTAAAGGACTTGCATGCAACACCTAAAGCACTTGCATGGGTTTGCT